ATTCAAAAATTATACGCTAAAGGCCGAAATTCTCTATATTTTGCAAGAAGCCTTAGAACAATTACATTTACGTAGATACCCTTTTAAAAATTATTTTAATTTTAAGAAAATCAAACATTATGTTTTCTAATAAAAGATTACAGGCAAAAAAAAAAAAAAAAAAAAAAAAAAAAAAAAAATCAAAATTCCTTGATTTTTTTGAAATTCCTTAGATTTGTTTAGTGAACCTAACATTAGAAAATAGATGAAAGTATTCATATATTTTCAAAGAATTTTTGTTCTTTTCTTTTTCAATTTTAAAAATATATTAGAAAATAATCTTAGAATTTTGTTAATTATTATACCTTAGGGTTAAATTAGATTAAACACCTTTGTAATATGACTCAGTTGCAACTATATCTCTTGTATTTTAAATCAAACACTTACACTCCTTATACTATGAAAATCTTATACAAATATAACGACTCAGTAATAGATATACATCACTCCCCCTTGTATCTCGATATCAAATATTTATACTTCATATACTATGAATATCCTAAAATTTTATGATGGCTTAGTTATGATATACTCCCCTTATTCCCTATATTTTTGTAAAAATATTTAAACCCCTTATCTAATAAGAATCATGCATCAAGATAAATGATCTTCCAACTAAGTGAATTTATGATAATTTAGAGTGGAACAATGAATAAGCAAAATAAAATAAAAATAAGAAATTTTTACATAATAAAATATTATAATTTAAAAAATACAAAAAGATTATGTGTTTATGAAGCACACAATGTTTTAAAGGATACATGTTTCGAAATAATTTGAGAAAGTCATACAGGATAAAGTCAAATTAAATTTTACGAGTAATATAAAATTATATTATATTAAACTTGTAATTTATTAAAAATTTATATGTGAATTTAATAATATAAAATAATTGAAAATACGATTAGATAAGAAAGGAACAATAATATAAATTTATTGGAAATATAAAAATATAAGATTTATATTTAAAATTATGATGAGAAAAGTCGTATATATACATACCTAAAATCATAATTAACAAATAGTCATAAAAGAAGAATACATAAAAAAATAATTTCAAGTGATATCGTAAAAGTATATATAATAATTAAATTTCTCAGGTAGGAAGTTTTAGTTAATAAATAGATCTCATAATTTTATAATAAAAATATAAAAATTCTGTTAGAATATTATACATTAAAAAAATATATTATATATATAGCACAAATTAATAATTATTAAAAATATTGGTAGATTTTTTATGAAAATAATAAAAGGCCTATCTCTTTATACTTTTGATGAATTCAAAATTATAATTTAGTAAAAAATAATATTATATTATATAAATTTTTAGTAAAATACAAAATGAGAAAATTAATCAAATATTACAGGAGAAAAGAATGTAAAAAAAAGAGGGGGTCAAGATAATTTATGATATTTATATTTTGAATTAATTAATAAAAATGATAAATAAATAGCACTCAAGAAAATTATTAATAAATTTAGACAATTGAAGAATTTTGAACAGTATAACATAAGTTTTAAAAAATATTTCAGAGTAAGAAAATCCATTTTTATATTATATTAAAGAGAAGTAATATCAAAATATTAAGCCAGTTGACAAGTTAATAAAAGTCATATTAGTAAATATATAGTACTAAGTACTTGCTAATTTAATAATAATAAAGAATAAATAAGGAACAAATAATTTATTTGATTACTATATAATGTTTATACTTTTGAATTTGTATAGATTTATAATATTAAATAATTTAATAATTAAATAACAACTCATGTTTATTAAAATAATATAATATATTAGATCTTAATTTTTATAAGATTAATATTCTGTTAAATTATTCGTATTGCGCGGGTTCTAACATAGTTAGTGATAAAAACTGAAGTCACATAAATACAAAATTTTATGGCTAAAAATGTACCTATTAACTACATAGTCGATTTTGTCACTATTTTAACAACAAATTTTTTAGTGACGGAACTTTTCTCGATTCCACACTTTAGTTAAAGTTGAGACAAATAATTTTGTCACAAATTGCCTGCATATATTATCACTAACTGTGTATATTATTAGTGACAAAAGCTAAAGTCACAAATGAATATAAAATTTATGTAAAAAGTTTGTACGATTTAACTACAAATTTTATTTCGTTGCTATTTTAACAATGTATTTTTAGTGACGAAACTTTTTTGTATTGCAAGCTTTAATTATTTTTTTAGACAAATGATGGTTTGTCACAAATTATTTGCAACATCAGTGACGAAGTTAATTGTCACTGATAATTTATTTTTGTGGCTAATGTTTTTCAATAATTGGCGCCAATCCATGATTTTGGTGGAAACCTTAGTAGACAAAATTTTTGCTACGAAGTTTGTGTTTCGTCACTAAAAGTATATGACTCATGGATTTATGTACGAAATATAATTTTTGTCACAAAAAGTGAATAATTAGCTACGAATTTTCTATCGTAGCTAATAATTTCGTGGTTAAAAATCACATTTATTGTAGTGTATATCGATAACTTTTGAGCCACAGTAATATATATATACAAAAAAGAATCTGAAAGCAAGTAATTTGACAGCTGAACACAAAAAATGAATTACCAAAAAAAAAAAGAAACAGATTATAATGCTACGCAAAGCTTTTATACTCTAACATAAATACCATAAACTCTCATGAAGACATCGATTTCAAATTGCAGTCTATATGCAGTTCTCATCAACTCCAATTGTCGAGTAGTCAAAGCACTTTCAACTTCCATACACTTCATATTTGCGATTCAATCTCTCTGATTGCCTGAATGTCGCCTCAATTTCTTCGTTAACCTGAATGAAATTCCAATGAATAAGGTACTTAGTTTATATATTGTCATTCACCTAAGACATACAAACACATAGAGACATACACACATATACATGTATATATACACATACACACAAGAAAAACACATTGAATGAGATAAAACTGCGTGGAAACACCTGATGAAGCATATCATTGAGCGAAACTGACACAGAAATGCAGCTGAGTGTTCCATTGCTTCAGTTTTCGTTCCTTCCTTTGTGTTTAAGAGATGACACAGGAGAAACCTTCCTTTGTGTTTAAGAGATGACACAGGAGAATCCGTAAGCTACAGGGTTCACAATTTTTGGAGATCCAAAATCTTCATTTACAACTAATGCACAGGAAAGGCCAATTTGCACACACGTACTATCTGTTGGTACTGATCCTGCATATTTAGAAATTTTTCCTGTATAGTATTTGATTTCAAGTATGCGAAAGAGATCAATTGCACTTATTTCAAGAAGACAAAGGAATGATATGCGGAGAATATTATACAATTTTTTAATTAAGCTAAAAGAGATCAATCGCACTTATTTAGGAAGTTCGTTAATGGAAATTCAGTTTTAGTAATCTATAAATATCAAAGTTGCAAGTGAAGATACACGCATAAGTATAGAATATTCAGCGAAAGTCTACTCTTGTAAAGAGCTAACCATATCATCAAAACTGAAAAATCTGCGAGCTACAAATCTAGAGCAGTACCACTAAGCCTCAGATAACATCTGAAGATATAGTAAAGGAAGAAAAATTCAGTATTGAAACAAGACATTGCCTAAGGAAGCAGAAGAATAGAGTTTCAATAAAGAAGGATCTTGTTTTCTGCTCTACTCTATTAATCAACACTTGGTATTCATATTTTCGAAATCTACGCTATTGTAGAGTTAGTTAGCTATTTCATATTTGATACAAATGATTTAGATCATGTAGTTATGCGAATCAGGAATGGGTGTCCCAAGAAATCCTAAATGCCTCTTTCTGATACAAATACCCGAAAATCTTCAAAACAAGAAGACCTAAGAAGCTAATTAGTAGACCTTATGTGAATAGCAAGTATTAATTGCATATCCTGAGTATGAATAGAGAACGCCCGCTGCATCTCTTGTGGTATGTAATAATGAGAGAAGATATTATTTTTAGGTGGTCTACAGTAGCAGCAATTGTTAAATCCATCCATTCAACAAGAAAATTACTTATCGGATAGCCAGTGTTGTGCCCAAATTGTGTCATACCTTGGCTTCTGATAGTACAACGGTCAATTTATAAGATAGCAGTTGCCTGAATGATTTCTTCGTATACTACATTGTGTGTTGTATGATCATCATTGCTATCAAATGTTGGCGGTCGGATCAACAATTTCACAGAATTCGAGTTTTTTGCTCGGGATAAAGCAACATAAAGTTGACCGTGGGAAAAAAAGGCTCTCGTAAATAAATTCCAACAAAATCTAACGTCTGACCTTGAGCTTTATTTATAGGCATAGCAAAACATAATCTAATAGGGAATTGTGTTCTTTTGAAAGGAATAGGTAGTTTTTCATCTTGTGAAGATAACAACGGTATTTTCGGAATAAATACATGTGTGTTTTTTAAATCCCCGCTTGTAATTTTAGCACTTATAATATTCCTTTCAAAATTACAACATACAAGTCGTGTACCATTACATAAGCCTTCGCACGGATTTAAATTTCGCAATAACATAACAGGACAATTTTTTTTCAAAGTTAATTTATACGGAGGTAAACCAGTAGGGTGTAAGCTATGCAAAAAATCGTCATATTGACTTTGATCATTCGTTTCAGTAGTTTCATCAAATGCAACATATGTCCTAGAATCACCCAATAATTGAGTTATGAGCATATCATTTATTTCATCAACGAAGTCATTTTTTGTTGTCAGAATAACACGAGAAGATGTAGAAGACATATTACAAGGAGATGCATAAAATCTGGATAAGTTACTCTAAATAAAAGATTCAACGATTCTTTTTCACTAATAAAAGAAACAATGAAACAATTAGGAATTTCAATCTTACCTTGCCAATTTGTTTTTTCTTTTCCGCTCCCTATTTTCATCAAATATTCACAAAAAGCAAGATCTGTTCTCGCTCGCATATTTAGTGATAATCACAATTTTTCGAGTTGATTCCAAATGTCAGAACATAGCAAGCTTTCTTGTATGAAGTCCTCTTTTTTTCCACCACAAACAACCGAAAGAGTTTGCCTGAAATCACCACCAAAAACAACAACTTTCCCACCAAATAGTATCTTCGTATCCATTAGATCTTTCAATAGTAAATCAAAAGCCTCTCTCAATTCTTTTTTGGCCATTGATACTTCATCCCTTACGATTAATTTGGCATCTTGTGTCAATAATGCAAGCGAACTTTGTTTACTAATATTACATGAGAATTGTCCATCAATATCAATAGGAATTTTAAAACGGGAGTGAGCAATTCGTCCTCCGGGAAGAATTGAAGCTGCAACACCAGAGGTTGCTGTTGCTAAAGCTACAAATCCTTTTGATCGTATAGCAGCAAGTAATGCACGATACAAAAAAAATTTTCCTGTTCCTCCAGGACCATCTATAAAAAAAGCTCCAGGTTTATTTTTAAATATTCTATCAAGAATTATATTATATGCTTCTCGTTGTTCATTGTTCAATTTTGCTTCCAATAACAAATCTTCTTCTCTAACAACTATATTTCTTTCAACATGAGAATCTTGAGCCTCTTTAGCAGCTGATGAAGCTGAAATTCTTTCAGATACAAGTGTAAATTCATTTATGTCATGACCCATTGAATGCAAAATGTCATTAATATGGTTTAAAGTCATATGACAAATCTGTTTCTTGTTCAAATTTGGCATAATCTTAAAGTCTTCAGACATAGAATCTTCAAATTTGTCCCAAAGTTCTTTCGGATTAGCAGGATTACAATAGACCAACAACGTAGCAAATAAGCGTCTTAAACTATAAGGCATCTGATATCTTACAGCTTCTGACATACAGTCAACCAAGCTATTGTCGCATTGTAATAATCAGTTTTTCTCTGCGGCTTCTCTAAATGTACTACAACATACTCCATTTACAGTTAGCAAATGTTGATATGATTTTGGTCCTCTAATATTCATTTATAACAATCGAAGATAGTATCTTTCCCCCTCTGTAGGATGACGTGTCACAATACGTCCAATAACAGCACCCCATTGTCGACGTGTCCACATCCTATATTGTTTGGACCATACAAAATATTCTGAAAATTCATTGTAAAGTAACTTTAGATTCTTAGCATCTTTGTTTTCTCTGTTCATCAAAAAAAATTCTGTCAACATTGTTTTTCTAATCATGAGATTACTTACAATTGCATTTATGGTCTGTGTGGTTTTAAAAGAGACAAATTGTTGTCCTTCAAGATGTAGCTGAAGATGGTAAACAACTGGGCTCATTTCGCTAATGGGAAAACCAAATAAACGCCAAGTTGCTTCTGGTGGCGAAACCCATCTAGCGGATTGATATTGTTTGATCTCATCTATTTCAATATTTGGATCATCAGCATGTACGAAAAAAGCAATTTTATCATGTCCCTTGCAAATATATTTATAAAGATATTTGACAACTTTAATATCAGAACAAACTTCAACATTAATATGACAATTAAATTTGCCCGGTAGATATGGATTGTAAGGAACTACCCAGGAGTTATCAAGAAGTTGTCCTCCAATATTTACAACTTTGCCGGTGTTTCGTCTTTGATATATTGGATACCTATCTTTTCCCTTTGATGTGTGATCGGCAAATTCCTTTGGATATTCAAACTTACAATATCATTTTTTTTCTGTACAAGGACATTTAGGATTTAAGCTACCACAAGGTCCATGCATCATATGTTTAGTAACAAGTGTATGCAAGTAATCATTCGTATCAGGATCAGGCAATTCAGTACAAACAATTTTATCATAAGCTTCTGGAGTTAACAATTTATATTCGTTGTTGAAATATATGATAAGAAAATGAGCATGTGGAAGACCGCGCTTTTGAAATTCAATAGTGTACATAAAAGCAGCCACTCTTCCAAATATGTTTCTCTTTAGTATATCTATTTTCATCTCTTCTACCTTCGCTCTAAACACTCGACTAACTAAATCAGGCCGATTTTATACCTCATCTGTTACAAATAAATGTTCTTCTATTTCAGGCCAAGATGGATTGCATGTCATTGTCAAAAATATATTAGGTTTTCCAAAATATTGCACTAATGCAATAGCGTCCATATATCTTCGGCGCATATCTCTAGGACCTCCTACAAAACTCGCAGGAAGAAAACTTTGTTTACCAATATTTGATGCATCTCTCTCTCTGTGTCTTAGAACATCAAGAAGCCCCGCTAACGCATCAACTCGAAATAAATCTTGATTAAGTGAATAGAAATCTAACCTTTGAGTCTCAAGCTTGATGAATTGATAAACTGAGTACTGTTGAAATGTTCTCCCAACATGCAAAACTCCGTTTTCTTCGTCATCCCTCATTTGAAGCTTATAACAGTAATATTCACGGCAAGATACAATATTTTTTTTTCGTTTCTTTTTTTGCAGAAGTTCCGCTTCCATATCAAGAAGCATGTCAATTGAGCACATATTTTCGACACTCGGAAGTTGGTCGTGTTCACAATAAATTCCAGTCCTAATAGTATTGTTTGTTTGAATAATCTTTTTAATACCACAGTGCCATCCATTCTGTCCATAAGGACTATGATTTGGTCTATTCCACACATTTAACTAAGAATAAGAACAAAGGATTTCGAAATTTGAAAAAAAAAAATTAAGTCATCAACGGAAAGAGAGGGATTGGAACCCTCGGTACGATTAACTCGTACAACGAATTAGCAATCCGCCGCTTTAGTCCACTCAGCCATCCCTCCCAATTGAAAAAGATAATTACTACATGAGATAGCACATAACATAAAGGAAAGAATCTTTCTTTTTCTCTTTTCTTCTTTCTATATTATATAGATATGTAAACTTTTATCATCAATTTCCTTTATTTCTTTATCTAAAGTAAAGGAGGGGCTCAGAAGAGCCAAGAATATCAAGAAAAATAAAAGAATACCTCTTTTCTTTGTCTAGATTTTGAGTAATAGATACTGCAACGGATCATAACAGCCGTAGTAATAATTTACCAATTGGCTCTTACAACTATGCGTATAAATTCGAATGTGCGGTAAAGAAATATTGGAACTACTCTCATCTTCTATCCATATTGCTGCTACTTCTGATGATGTTGGTAAGTTGTATGTTCTTTGATCTAAACCAGAGTCAGACTTAAGCGCAATATAGAAGTTGGATAATTCTGAAATATCTATTAATGATTTCAAGAAAATGCAGTATGGGTTCATTTTTAAAGTGTCCATCAAAGTTCTGATAACTGATTCATTAAGCTTGTCAGAGAATGCCATCCAATTCACTACCTCATTATTTGTATCGTAGAAATACAACTGTAGATTTTTAGCCGGTTGACTCGATGGCACCAAGTCATCTATAAAATTATACATTTTTCTTTGAACTCTAAATGTATAAATACCGCGATTTCTTCTTGCTAAATCTCTGTCATATTTCACTCCAAGAGATGTAAATGCGAACATATTATTATACATTCTAACATAAGTGCGAAAATGTTGACATTCCTCAGAGTTTCCTAAATAAAGATTTAGCATTTCAGCAGGCATTCCATAGTGAATCAATTTCACTGAATCATTGTCACAACAAAACCCCGGCGGTTCATATTCAAATCTTTTGGCTCTACAAAATTCACAGTTTGATACGAGTTTGTGTCTAAAAGAGCTAGTAGGCAATTCATTAGTGTTGCAACGACCCAATATTCTATTTTTACGACATGTGTATCTCAAATTTTAGCGAAGGCAAATATATTAGTTCAAGGAAAAAAATAACTAAAATGGTTTGAAGGGTAGTTGAAAAGAAACCTTTCTTTGTTGTTGTATGCGACCTAATGGTGTATTGTTGGGTGCACGTTCCTGACGTGGACCCTAACATATAAGGAATTATCACATAAGTATGGATATGTCAAAAAACTACGAATAACACCATTGTTCCAGGCTTACCAACTTAAAAAATGCAGGAAACTACTATTTATATCTCTGCCATTATCAGAAATAACGGAAGCATAAACTGAGTGCACATTTGGTAAGACAGACAAAGAGAAAACAAGTTAGTCACATCACATTGATGTGTGAACGTATAAACTAAAATATTTCTATTATATATAAGTGCCTAAGGTGGACGAACAACGCACATTAAAGTGGTACAAAATGTTACTATGGTTTGTACTTTGTACTCCACTCAGAAAGACTCCCCTCTCCCTCACACTGTGTTCCACTCAGAAAGACTCACCATCTCACTCACACGTATTCCACTCAGAAAGACTCACCCTCTCCTTCACACAGTTCTGCTGTCGTTTCTCACTCTCTCTTGAACCTTCTTCTTCCCTATTTCCAATTTTCTTCAAATTTCTTCTGCATCTTGGTGGTGTGGGGTCTTCCTTGGATTTCTCTCAAAGCTTTTCCATTTTGCGTATTTCTTTCGAAGATTCTCCCTTTTGGTTCTAATTTGTTATGGACAGTTATGCTCTCGGTTCGAAGTTCTGGTACTTTTTTTGTCTAATTAATCTTTTATTTATTGCACTTGTTTGTTGGTAAAATTTTGCTAGAATTACATATATCAGTAATTTTATTTGAACATGCAAATATTTCAAAGTTTATTCATCTCTGAAACTGCGATTCTTTTTCTCCTTCGGTGCTTTGAAGCATCAAACTTGGTTGAAAGATTACGTCTTGACAATATGATTAAGCATACTTCAATATTAGTATGCATACTTTCATGGTGTTTATGTGTAAATATTTAGAGGAATAGTGTATCGTTTGTGATAGTTTCTTATCTTTCCTAATATTTTTTTTAACTTTGTTTTTCCAGTTATCCAACCTTTTTCCATTCTTAAGTTACTTGACATGATACAGATAACTCTACGGCGTTTGATGATATGTGTGAAATAACGTTAATGATTATATTGGTAAGTGAACCTTTTAGGTCCCTGCATTTGAAATTGAACATCATAAAAGATATGCAGTTGATAAACTTCGACAAGAATAGATTCACTGTCTAATACTTGTTAAATCTTTTCTTAAGTTAGTGTTTGTATGACCATGTCATTTTACATGAATAATATAATCAACTAATATGTCATTGAGGTGATCTTATTCTTCCCTTTACCTCTACTTTCATGTGAAGCAAACAATTGTCCCACAGGAACTTCTATTAAGCACAGTGAATTCCAAAACTTAAGACTACTATTTTACATACCCCTGTGGGTTGACATAATTCCTTGGCCTATATGGTCCAAAAAGTTAAATTCTAGACCTAAAAGAATAGGACACTTAACTGGAAATTGTTTGCAAATAAAATTATCTCTCGAATAAATATAGGCGAAATGGTTTCCTGGTCACTTAAACTTGTACTGGATTTTAAAGCCGATACACGAACTTACATGGTTCCCATTTGAACACTCAAACTCAAGTATCCGGTAATTAATAAACCTATTTGACCGTTGACCATGCATATGTGACAGTGACAGAGATGATGTGGACAAGGTGTGTGCAAGTCACGAAAATTACGCGTGTGACTGCAATAGTTTTGATTTAAAAAATCTAAACCAGAAAAAAAAATTAAAAAGAAAGAAAATAAATCAGACCCACTTCCCCCATCCCCGCAAAATATACTTCACCCCTGTGTTCTTTCCAATCCTAAACCCTTTCCAATTCCAAATATTAATTCCCAGAGCTTCATCCACCTCCTCAACATCCCCGTATCCCATCTTCTCATATATTTTCTCCGCCGTCTTATCAAACGCCGCCGCCACATTCACCGCCGTTTTAGCAGAAGCTTCCATAAACAAACATCCATTACTCTTCGCGAATTCCTCGCCTCCCTCTGCACTAACAGTCCTAATAATTTCTCCGGCATCACACTTGTTCCCCACCACTATTACTGTCGTGTCGCGTTGTTGCAGTATATCTTCAAGCCAACTCGACAGCGGCTCGAAAGTGTGCCTTTTACTCACATCGTAAACAAGCAAAGCTCCTGCGGTGGCTCTGTAATATGCCCTCGTAACCAAAAGGCGTAGAAGGAAAGAAATTTCAAATTAGCGAAGCTCCTGCGGCGTCTCTGTAAACAAGCAAAGCTCCTTCTAAAAGGTGTAGAAGGAATAATGAAAGAAATAAAATAAGAAGGAAATTTTGATAAATTAATTATAAAAAAATAGGACCCCTGATGACACGTGTAAAATAATAAATGACTTTAGTATTTGACGTGTTCTTTTTGTCAGGCAATTGAGCTACACGCTCAGAAGAAGGGGTTTATTTGTAATCAACTGGTTGAGTTGAGGTGCTAAAATGGGAAAGTCAAGAGTTTATATATCGGCTTTAAAATCCGTTACAAGTTTAACTGGCCAGGAGGCCATTTAAACATCAGGGGATAAGAGAAATCTGGGCATCAAAGAAGATGTTGATGTGAAGTTGAAGAGTTTGACGTCATATAGTTATCTTCTCAGTCGTTTCTTATTTGGGATAATAGCTGTAGAAATTAACTATATTGTTGATTAATTTGCAGAAATTTTCTTCGAGGTCAAGTTTTAGTTATCTTTCTTATCCTTTATTCTAATTTGTATCAGACATATGTCTTTGTATAAATTACATATGGGTTATTCCACTATTGCTTTTCTCAATTTCTCTTCTCTTAGACCTAAGTATACATTCTCACTAGATAAACCTCTTTGTATTTAAAGTAAAAGAAACGAAAGTTCAGGAGTTGGAGAAAGCAGAACCACCATGCACTACTGATGATGCATTCACACCCTACAAATTCTACCATGCGAGTTCTTCTGGTCATCAAAGGTGCTCTTCAAAGGTCCTCTATCTTTGCAGCTTTCAAGTTTTAAGTTTGTGTTAATGTGTTAAAGTAAGCTAAGTTGTTTATGATTATTGTTGTATTGTCTACCTTGTGGTTGCACTCTTTTCTTTTGATGGATTTGCACAAAGTATTTTTTAAATTACCATTTGATGTTGCAAAACTCTTCGGAGCCGTCTGGTCCAGCGTACTATCGTTTCCATATGAATAGTGCGAGATATCTCCTCCACATTGTTATTAAAAGCAATCGTTTTGTCACTTAAAGTGATGGAACAATGTGAAACGAGAACGAGGGTTCGTTGCTTCACGGACAAAGCCATATGCTTCAGAGTGCACTTCAAACAATGATGTGCAAAGTGATCTCAATGAGAAAATAATTTTTGAATCTCAGCTTTGAGGAGTTGGATTGATATTGGTATTAATTAGCAATTTTTAAACAGTCATATCCTGTCTCTAAATGATTTATGTAGTTTTTTGCATTTTGATAGGCAGTTCGTCATTTTTTCTTTTGACTATATACCTTTAAGAATTTGAGCTCTTCAACATGACTTACTATGAATGATTTGTATGGGCTAACTATAGAGTTTAAAATCTCATCTTCTCCTTTAAAGTGGGAGTCAATTATAGGATATTCTACTTACTAACAACTTAATGAATCAAAGAGAACATGCTAAATTGGAGCCAGATATTCTTTCGAAATGCTGTGAGATTCAAGTGTGTAAATAGGATGGAAGATTTTATTAATGTATACAACTTTGTACTGCTTTGTTAGATGTACTTTATTTATGTAAAATCAACAACATTACTTCATTTGTGAAATGAATTCTTAAACGTTATTTCAGAAAACTATATAAAGATGGACACCAACATAAAATATAGGAGGATATAGGTGTTTAACCAAAAAATAATATTTTGGACAAAGCTAGAATTTGAGATGAAAAATCGGGTTACTGATAATCAAGAGACCAGAAAAGAATAATAGGCTTTCTGAGAATAAGAATAAAGCAGTAAACAAGTTTGTATTTCAGTATGATGTCAATGATCTTTTCGTGTCCCTTCAAATGATGAGACTTCTTCCTTTTATAGTTGATTCTAGGTAAAGGAATGAAACCTAAGCTTTAATGAGACAATTATGGACAATAAATGACATTAAATAAGCCGTTACACAATCATTCCTATTAAATACCAATTTTCTAACGTATCAGGTATTTAATACTGAACTTGGACTCCTTTTTGTCTTCAGATCCATGTCTTCAATGCCTTTCGATCCATCGGCTTTAAATGACTTGAATTGGTACGAGACTCGTGTCTAAATTGCTTCTCGTGCCTATTTCACTTCCTCTTCCCGTACCTCTCATCTCCCGTACCTTTTTCTCAATTGTTACGCTTTGACCATTTCACCAGTCCACGTATCACGCCACGTCATCTTCAATATAAATTCAACTTTTTTTTTCCCAATACAGATAGTCCCTCCACTTTCCATTTATTTATCAATTAAATAATTGGGAAGTGGATCTTCATAAAAAAGGAATTTTTGCCATAATCAATGCGCATGACAATATTGACGTCTCAGTTGTCTTTTCCATTTAATGTTCTGTCCATGTGTCACTTTTTGATTGATTCTGCTATTTTGCACCCTTTTTCAAGGCTTCTTTACTTCCACTATTCACGAAGTGATAGTTGCCTTTATTATAGGCTTTCCATCATTACTCTTCTAAATTTGACGGTTGCCATCATATACATACTTAACCTTTTCTTCCTTTGTCTTCTTCTCCATAAATCTTTAGCGAACGTTTTCTTCCTCACTTTTGCTCTCCTTTGATTCATCTTTGCTCAACAATGGCGTCTCCAAACCCTAACCCTAAAAGAGTTCCAATTTTAGACAAATTCCCCAATGCCCCTGTTAGACATAGAAGAGACAGAGGAGGCAGGCTTCGTACAGGGTTAGAATCTACTCGAGGCGACTCTTCTGGTTCTTCTTCTGGGAGTTCTATTCTGAAAACTCCTTCTTCTAAAGGTAAAGAAATTCCTGATTCTTCTCGAGAACCTTTAGTTGATGAAATCGTACCAAGTGATTTATCTTTTGTAAGTGATAGACAATCTCTTCAAAAGCAAGTTGCTGGTTTAGAAAAAGCTGATACTTATCCTACATTAGTGACCGAACTTACAATCCCTACCATCAGAGGAGATTGTAACTGGAAAAATAGTCTTCGAATGTCAATTCCTTCCATAAATCAAAGAATTTCTTCTTTTAGGATTGGGTACTGTTTTGTTTATACTTACCCTTTTACTTTGGGTTTTAATCCCCCAATTGACCCAATCATTCTCGATTTTTGTCGTTTCTTTAATATTTGTTTGGCCCAAGTTGGTCCTTTAGTATGGAGAGCAGTGGCTTGTTTGAGATATCTATCTACCAAAGCCACTGTTAATTTCACCTTTTCTCACCTTATCCATTTATACCATCCTAATTTAATACGTCATGGAGTTTTTACCTTAACTGCGAGAAGCAAGAAGGTTTTGGTAAGCACAGAAGATGACAATGATCGTGGATGGTAGGCCCGTTACGTTGCTGTACGTACGGTGGATTTGCTTGGTGAAACAAATATTCCCTTCCCTGAGAAGTGGAATTTTGCACGTAAGTTTTTTTTTTTGACCGTACCTATTTTTGAGAATTTCGATTCTTTTTCTGACTTCGTCTCTTTTTGGTTTTTTGTAGCAACCATGGGAGATGTGGAACCTGTTCCCAACTTTCGTGGTTGGGTAGATTCAATTTTGAAGATTGCTCCTAAGGAGCAAAGAACTTGGAAATCAATTTCTGCTTTACATGGCTGGAAAGTTAAAACACATGGTATCGCCTTTTTTACACACTTTTCTTTTTGCACATTAAGTACTTTTTCCTTAATGTTGATTGTGTATCCTTCTTTTAATCAGGATTTGGTAACAAAGGAATGACAGCTGATGTAGTTACGGCCATTCGCATGTCTGGTAATGCTGCACTTGACTTGGACAAGGCTCGAACCTTGCTTCAAAAAAGGAAAGCAATAGGAGAAGGTTCTAAGAATGAGGAAGAGGGAGGTACCTCGTTAATAGCCAGGCCACGAATTAGGAGACGAGTCATTAATGATGATGAAATTGAAGATACTCCTGCTCAAACTTCGACCACCGAGCCTGTTTTGATTCCTTCAGACGAGGACACCGTGCCAAGAGACACGAATGAATCAACTCAGCATCTCTTTGATAGTGGTTTTGAGAGTGGCAAGCTCGGACCTGTTTTTGATGAAGTTCCTCTTTCTTCATTCGCACCTACTTCCTCCATTCCTTTGCCAACCGTAAGTGTTTCCTTGCCAGCATTGACTGCTTCTGTTCTTTCACCAGTTTTGACTGCTCCTACATCCATTCCTATGTCTACTTCTTCCGTTCCTGCTTCAACTCCCACGACTCCTGTGGTGTTTACCTTTTCTACTACTCCTCCTTCCGCTGTTCCATCTTCATCTGTCCCACATGTAGAAGTAAGTTCTAGCAATAGAGGCATGACTATGAGGAGTGTCACACTCGAAATCCCTGCTAATCAAAGCCTCTTAAGAAAATCCGGGAGAGCTGATACTTGGCTCGAACCTCTTATTGGAGAAATCGAGAAGAATAAGATGCAGAGCCATAGTTGTTACACTTTGATGAATGACATAGTTCATTCAACTTTAAAGGTAATTTTCTTAACCTTGAATGCTTTCCTTCTTTTTCTTTCTAAGTTCTCACTTCTATGCTTTATAACCGTAGGCTAATCTTATTGGGACTGAGCTGATGGGGCGAGTCTCTACATTGGAGAAAAAGGAGCGAGAGTCTACAAAGGCTATATCTGAAGCTAGGAAAATAGCTGAGGATGCCTTATTTGAGGCAGCAAATTGGAAAGAACAATTTGAGAGTGCCCAAGGGACTGTAGAGGAGTTGCAGGAGAGCAAGGCTCACTTGGAGCAACAAAATCGTGGCTTAACTTCTGAGCTGGGAATTGTCAATGCTTCTTGGGGTCAGCTTAAAAGGGACAAAGAGCTTCTGGAATGCTCTCTATCTAAAGCCAATGATGAGATTAAAGAGCTTAAGGCACTCATGGAGAAGAAAGAAGAATACGCAAGGGAGTTAGCTCAAAACTTAACTCATGCTCAAAATGACTTAAGGATTTCTTCTGACAAAATTCGTGCATTGGAAAGTTCCCATGCCTCTCTTGAAGCTTCCCTGGATTCTCACCTAGCCGAGCACCAAATAATGAAAAATGACCTTGCTATGTGGGAAAAGGAATATAAGGCTCTGGAGAAGGAATATAATGCTCTTGAAGAAAATTTCAACATAGACGTGAGTTGGGCTTTTCTAAATTCTCGGCGTGATGCTTTGATGGAGGCTACACAGGAAAACTTTGACTTGCAATCTGAACTGGCCAAAGTCATAGACACTATCGAGAAAGGTCAACAACCTGCTGATACTCCTTCTCCAGCACTTGGAACTATTGATACCCCTTCTCCAGCACTCGAAGCTCCTGGAACGGAAGAGTTTTTGAACTCTGAAGCAGTTACTGAGGTACTTGAAGTTGTGATTCCAGCTTCCGAGGGTGAAACTTCTATGACACAGTCTATGGGAATTGAAGTTCCTGTGACTATTACTTCCCTCGTTGATGTTATCACTTCAAGCTCAGCTGAAACCGCTCCTATTGCTGCTTCTTCAGAAGTTGTGACCGCACCTGTTATTGCCTCAGAAAGTGATGTTACAACTTTTAATGATTGTTAATGTTATCCCTTGGCAATTTTGAAGGGATCTTTTGATGAAGTCCCCAGTTACCATAATGGGGCACTTGTAAGACAAACATTTTGATGACTAAGTTTTTCCTCAATCTTCTATGTTAAGAAGTTTTATGAGTACTTCTTTATATTCTATTCTTGCCTATTTACTTATTTAGGACTTATAGAATAGCTTAGCATTTTTATCCTTTGGAAATGCTTTATGATTCTTCTCATGGAATATCAACATGAGGTTTATAAAAGAGGGCCCTTTTATTTTATAGACACTTAATGAAGAAGACGTCTCAACTTCATAATGGTGTTATAATACGACGAAAGTAATAGGAATACACATGTTTTGTATGAAACAACTTTGATAAGTTTTCATTCATGAATTTTGACAATTTTTTTTTGACTATTACATGTGTTAAAATACATCTATAACTTTCTCGCAACTGTTTTTCTCGTAACAGATTTTTACATGATATAAAATAGACAAGGTTTTTCTTCATAACCTGTTTCAGTATATAGTCACAACCCTATCTTTACATATTTAGGAAGGGTTTGAGAAGTGACTTCGTTTGCAACATTATAATGAATGTTTTATGCTGAGTGCTGAAGACTTCGTAACTTCCTCTCAACACTTGTCTTTTTGTAGCTAAATCTTGCCAAAACTTTAACCAACTGTTGTTCGATATTCGTATCTGCTTTTCTGCACTCAGCGGTATATAACATGTAGTCCCCCAAGTGTTCGAGCGGTGAAGAATGAAGCCTCAAGCACTTGTTTGTTTCTCTCAGTTTGGTCCTTTTCCTGAAACAGAAAAATATACGGGACTCGGAGGTGCGATTATAGATGAAGACTGCCTAACCCGTGTATATTTCCATCAGATTAATGTAACCCTAGGCTCGGAATTTAAGAATATTCCATTTTGCCGTGCAGGTCGTGACTCATCATGTGGCACGAGTTAGGGTTTTTGCCTAGCATCTAAAATCGTTAGTAAAATTTTAACAATTCAAAGAAAAAATTTAACATGGGGATACCTGACTGTGACCATTCCCTTAGAAGTAATATCTCTTTAGATGGACAGCATTCCAATGTGAAGGTAAGACCTTGCCATCCATTGTCTCCAACTCGTATGCTCCCTTCCCTGCAATGTCACGGATTCTGTAGGGTCCCTCCCACGTTGGACTTAGCTTTCCAGAGTTAGCAGCCTTCGTAGATTGGAACACCTTTTTGAGCACAAAGTCCCCAATTTTGAAGAACCTGAGACGTGCTTTCCTGTTATAGTATCGTTCAATTACTTGCTTTTGAGCTGCCATCCTTATTAATGCCGCTTCTCTTCTCCCTTCGAGCAAATCAAGGTTCAACCGTAACTCTTCATTGTTCGAGGCCTCCGTTGCTTGAACGTACCGTGTGCTTGGTTCTCCTATTTCTACTGGAATCAGAGCCTCAGCACCATAAACCATCGAAAATGGGGTTTCTCCCGTGCTTGTTTTTGTCGTTGTACGATAAGCCCATAATACTCCAGGTAATACCTCGGGCCAATTACCTTTCGAATCCTGCAATCTTTTCTTCAAGTTGTTGATGATAACCTTATTCGTGGACTCAGCTTGTCCATTTCCCACTGGATGATATGGTGTAGATGTTATTCTTTTAATCTGCCAACTTTCAAAAAATTCTGTGATTTGGGCCCCTATGAATTGTGGTCCATTATCACAGACGATTTCCCTTGGTACTCCAAAACGGCATATTATGTTTCTCCAAATGAAGTCTTTAACTTCTTTCTCCCGCACCTGTTTAAAAGCTCCTGCTTCTACCCATTTAGTGAAGTAATCTGTAAGCACAAGTAGAAATTTTACCTGACCTTTTGCTAGTGGTAATGGACCTACGATATCCATCCCCCATTTCATAAAGGGCCACGGGGCTATGACAGGGTGGAGTAACTCAGCTGGCTTATGCATATTATTGCCGTATCTTTGACATTTATCACATTTAGATACGAAATCGTTAGCTTCTTCTTCCATCTTAGGCCAATAATACCCTGCTCGAATCAATGTTTGTAC